CAACCTATACTAACCTATACTAATGATGCAAACCGAAGTTAGCCTAGACTACGAAATGGAAAAAAAACAAACGACTATCTTATGCATGTGCCATGGTCCCGAGGTGTACGATGCCGCCGTCGTTGTCACATGGGTGCCTTGCCCTTATCTGCAAAGGTAAAGTAGCACGAGACTTGAGTATTTCTAGAATACTCAGTAAGTGACCCTCTATCAGGGTTATGCAACAATCACATGCAATGAAATGATGGGACCTATCGTTTCATTTCGTTTCGTTTTGTTTCGTTTTTCCTACGGTGTAATCCTAACGGGTAATCGTGGACGTGTACCATATACTCTACACATAGCCCATACGTGCGAGTATGGGCTCACCAGCTAGTTTGCACACCGCTAGGCCACATTCCTTATCCGGTGGGCATACTCTAGGAGCCCCTTAGGCCGGGACCCGTTAAGACTAGAACCGTCACGGTAGCGCTATGCAAAGCATAACGATCGCTGTCCTGCCATTGGATGTACGCGTCCGTACCCTCGTGATGGGATAAGGGTATCCCCCTAAATGCATGAACACAGAATATGCATGAGGTCCCACTAGTCCTACAGTTATCATTAATGAACATAACCCCTTGTCACGTTTTTTTGTTGACATGTAATTCTCATTCTCGTTTCTTTACATATTATACATATTCCTAGCGGGGTTATGTTTCATGCAATTTACCGTTATTCATGCAGTTACATTCAAATATTCATACAAACAAGCCATAATCGTTCAAGGGCCACACATCGTCACATGCATAACATATCACATCAACTAAGCAGCATACATGCATACACGTTCACATGCTTTCGTACTTATGCACATTAAACTAGCTTACAATTTAATGACGCGTGCATATGCACGGGCACGTGCCAACATACAGCAAATAACGCGTAACCTACGACGGGTGAGCCACTTACCTGGCTAGCTTAAGTCGTTGTCACGAATATATCTTTAATGAAAGTTCGATTCCGTCCTTTGAAATCTTGGTCAACCTATATTAGCTCATGACATCAATTTCAAGTTTGAACTCTATAAAATTTTGTTAGACAAAATTTAATGGAGTTTCATGCCTCTGGTCTTTCCTGTGTTTCATTTTTAAATTCTGTTCAACAGATCTTCCCTTCTCCCTCTAATTACTTTTCCCTTCTCCCTCTTTGTAATTATTTTCCTTCTATAAATAGATTTCCAGTTCTGTAAATAAGATATTCCTCTAATTCCATATTTATTTTCATTCTATAAACAGATATTGTGGGCAATTGTTTGTCTACTATCATACAGATTTATGGATTGTGGGCCAATTGTTTGTCTACTATCTTATCTATTTATGGATCTGCCAACTAAAATTTCATTGGTTCTAACCTTATTTCCTATAACTTCCAATGCTAACAAAAAAAAATTTAATTAATTGAATATGGGATCTGATTATTACGTGATCCGTAAAATAAGAAAGAAGATTTGATCCTAAATTGATTTCTTATAACTATAAAGGAAAAAGGAAATCTGAGAGGATTTTAGGGTAATAGCAGACCAAAATCTCTCCACGATCTGCATCATATCCTTATTGAAATGCTATTTTACTTTTTCCCAAATCTGACATTTTTTTCTGTTTATTGATTTGGATGAACTGTGATCTGGTGGGTTTGAGGAAAGAGGATAGGGTTGAAACCATAGGTTAGTGGAGAGAGGTTGGTCAATTTTATTTTTATTTTTATTTTTAAGTAATCCTTTTTAGTTATTTAATTACGAATTATTATTATTTTTATTATTTTAACGTATATATATTTTTTAATTATTTTTATTTGTTTATTTATTATTATTGTTGTTGTTATTATTATGATTATTATTATTATTATTATTTCGGGCTATTACATTACCTACCCCTAAAAAGAACTTTTATCCTCGAAAGTCTCGGATATTTTTTCTTTATTTCCTTCTCTCGTTCCCACGTAGCTTCCTCGATTTGGTGGTTACGCCACAATACCTTAAAGAAACCTATGTTTCTGTTACATAAGGCTTTCACTTCTCGGGCTAGGATTCTAATCGTTTCTCCTGATAACTTAAATATTCCTCGATTTCGAGAGGTTTGTAGTCTATTACGTGCATCGAGTCTGCAATATATTTCCTTAACATGGACACATGAAATACATCGTGTACGCTTGAAAGTGAAGGTGGTAAAGCTAGTTTGTAAGCTACCGAACCTACTCTTTCTAAAATTTTGAACGGTTCAATGAATCGGGGACTGAGATTCCCCTTGCGTCCGAATCTTAGAATACCTTTCATGGGAGCTACTTTTAGGAACACTGGGTCCCCCCTCTTCGAACTCTAAATTCCTATGCCTAACGTCGGCGTAGCTCTTTTGCCTACTCTGTGCGGTACGTATTCTTACTCTAATTTTTGTATTGCCTCGTTGGTGACGCGGACCAGCTCGGGTCCTACCAGTTCTCGTTCTCCTACTTCATCCCAGCACAATGGGGATCTACATCATTTTCCATACAACGCTTCAAAGGGTGCCATCCCAATGGTTGCTTGGAAGTTGTTATTGTAAGAGAATTCCATTAAGTGCAGTTTGGTGTCCCAACTCCCTGTGAAATTCATAGCGCATGCCCGAAGCATGTCTTCTAGAATTTGGTTTAATCGTTCTGTTTTGCCATCCGTTTGTGGGTGGAAGGTGGTGCTAAAGTCGAGGTGGGTACCCATTGCTTTTTGGAGTCCGCGCCAAAAGGCCGATGTAAAATGCGGGTCCCGATCCGACACAATTGACACCGGTACTCCATGCAACCTCACAATTTCTTTAACATACAATTGAGCCCAATTGTCTACGGTATATGTTGCCTTACCTGGTAGGAAGTGAGCCGACTTTGTCAGACGATCCACGACCACCTAGATCACCGTATAGCCCTTTAATGTTTTGGGTAGGCCTACTATGAAATCCATGGCAATGTTTTCCCATTTCTATTCCGGTATACTTAGAGGTTGTAGTAGCCCGACGATTTTCTGCCTAGGGGCTTTTACTTGTTGGCACACCAGACACTTACTCACGTACTCCGCGATATCTTTTTTTATACTTCACGACAGTAAGTGTTGTTTCAAGTCTTGATACATCTTTGTTCCACCTAGATGTATTCAGAAGGTTGAGTTGCGTGCCTCAGTTAGGATTTCATTCTTTATTTCGCTCAAGGGTGGGACACATAAACGCCCTTGACATAATAATCAATCATCTGTTGACTTAGAGAATCCGTCCACTGGGCCTACTTCCAATTGGTCTAGGATTTTACTAAGGCTTGGATCCCCACGTTGTGAGTCTATGATCCTTTGTCTAAGCGGGGGGCGAACTGTTAGTCGGGCTATTTGGCCTGCAACTTCTTTGGTTACTACCGCTATATCAGCCAGTTCGAAATCAGTTCGCACTCGTGGCTCCATGGTGATGGGGGCCAACGAGTGTACTGCTTTTCGACGCAGTGCATCAGCAACTACGTTTGCTTTTTCAGGGTGGTACTGGATGTCTATGTCGTAATCTTTTACCAGCTCTAACCATCTACGTTGCCTCATGTTCAATTCTTTCTGTGTGAACAAATATTTTAGGCTTTTGTGGTCCGAGTAGATCTTGGTCTTTTCGCCATACAGGTAGTGTCGCCAAATTTTTAACGCGAACACTACTGCTGCCAACTCCAAATCATGTGTAGGATAGTTTTTCTCGTAATCTTTTAGTTGGCGTGACGCATACGCAACCACCTTGCCATGTTGCATCAGTACATAACCTAATCCCTTTTTAGATGCGTCACTGTAAATCACATATCCCACAGAACTCTCTGGAACTGTGAGCACTGGCGGATACTAGTCTTTGTTTTAGCTCTTGAAATCTGGCCTCACAAGTATCGTCCCAAACAAAAGGTACACCTTTTTTTGTCAATTGGATGAGAGGCGTGACTATTCTAGCGAAGTCCTGGACAAATCTTCGATAGTAGCCTGCCAATTCCAAGAAACTTCGTATCTCGGTGACCGTTGTTGGGCGTTTCCATTTCATGACCGCTTCTATCTTATTGGAATCTACGAAGATTCCGTCTTTAGAAACTACATGCCCCAGAAATGAAACCTGTCGTAGCCAAAATTCACACTTAGTGAATTTGGCAAAGGCTTTGCGAAGGTGCTCTTGGTGTTCTAGGTCCGTTTTCGAGTATATCAGGATATCGTCTATGAACACGATCACAAACGAGTCTAAGCACTCCTTAAATACTCGGTTCATTAGTTCCATAAATATCGTTGGGGCATTGGTGAGACCAAAAAACATCACCACAAACTCATAATGACCATATCTGGTTCGAAAGACTGTTTTTGGTATGTCTTCATTTTTAATCTTAATTTGATGGTATCCTGATCAAAGATCTATTTTAGAAAACATTATCGCCCCACGTAGTTGGTCAAATAGGTTCTCAATATGGGTAACAGGTACTTGTTCTTTATCGTCCTCTTATTTAATTCCCTATAATCAATGCATAAACGCATTGAGCTGTCTTTCTTTTTGACAAACAACACTGGCGCACCCCAAGGGGACACGCTAGGTCGAATGAAGCCCTTATCTAGCAGATCTTGTAGTTTTGTTTTAAGTTCTTTTAGTTCATCTGATGCCATGCGGTACGAGGCCTTAGAGATGGGTCCAATTCCTGGTTCCAGATCTATTCCAAAGTCTACCACTCGTGATGGAGGAATTCCTGGGAAGTCCTCTTGGAAGACATCCATAAATTCGTTTACTATGGGTTTTTCCTTTCCTTTTGTATTTACTGCACAGGCTAGAATTGCCCACCCCCCTTATTGTATCAGGCATCTTGCTTTCATCATCGATATTATTTTTGGGGTGGTACCTATAGAGGTTCCTTTAAATTTAAAGATAAGTCCGTTGGGAGTTGTGAATATCACCTCCTTCTTATGGCAGTCTATGCTAGCAAAGTTTTTCAGCTAACCAGTCCATTCATAGTATGACGTCAAGATCTGTGATATCCACTACCTTTAAGTCCACATGGATGGTTTGTCCAGCTATTACCACTTGTCCGTCCTTTACTCTATTTTTCGTAACTAAGTCTACCCCTGCTTGGGTACCGACTGACAATGCATGCATTAAGGGTTCTACTACGAACCCTGCTTGTTTAACAAATGGTAAGGCAACAAAGGAATGGGTAGAACCAGACTCAAACAATGTCAACTCAAAGTGTCTTATTATAGAAAGCGTACCTGTCACCCCGGTGCCAGATGTTCCCGCCTCTTTAATGGTCATTACATATGCCCTGGTCTGTGGGCGAGTTTGTACGGTGGGCTCTCGGATGACAGGTCCTCTAAGGGGTTCCCTTGGATTTCCCGAGCTCTTTGTAGGGCAAGTTCTTGCCACATGACCTGCATGACCACAGATATAACACATACCTAAGCCCGCCAAACATCTCCCAACATGTTGTTTTCCACAGTTACGGCACAGGGGCTTCTCCATTGCTAGGTATCGGCCTATTGGGGGTGGAGCAGGTGGCCTACTCTGATATTGAGGTCTCTGGGGGTGGAGCGTTTCCTCCCTGTGATGACCGTTGGCTCCGTTTTCTTTTCCTCTAGGGGTTCCTCTAGGGTCTTGGTCGTCCTTAGGGTCTCTTCATAGGTTTTTGGGTTAAAGGCCTCTAACATGCGGTGGGTTTTCGGGTTCAATCCAAACACAAATTTTTCTATCTGTTTCAATTAAGTGTCAGCTAAAGATGGTGCAAACCTTCTCAATCTCATGAAGTCCTGATCGTACTGATCCACCGTGCGATCACCTTGGGTTAAGTGGTTAAACTCTTGCTATTTTTTTATACGGGTTTCCTTTGGATAATATTATTTTAGAAAGGCTTCCTTAAAGGTCTCCCACGTTGTAATTCCCCCGCCCTGGTTGATGCTCTGTTTATTATCTTACCACCACACTTCTACATCTTTTTGTAATATGTATGTCGCACATGCCACCTTATGTTCATCAGAGCATCTCATTGATTCAAAGGTTGTTTCCATGTTTGCGATCCACATCTAAGCCGCTGTGGGATCTTCCTTTGAATAGACAAAAGGACGGGGGTTATACCGCCTGAAATCCTTTAACCAACTCGCACCCCTATCCGGGTGCGGGTTGTTCACCAGTTGGATAGCTACCGCATCCACCGGTTGCGGGGCCGCCGCGTTGGCTGGTTACGTGGCCATTGCCGCGCTTGTTGCGTAGCCAACAACGTGGCCTATTATGTGTCTAGCATTGTTTGCATAGTTTTTTGGAGGGATTCTAACAGTAACTTTGTGGCGGGGTCTAACCCGGCCTGTGGTGCAGCTTGAGAGGGCGGTGCATATTCAGGAGGTGGTACAGCTTGTGGAGGAGGTGCATATTTAGGAGGTGGTACAAACGCATATGAGCCGGTAGTCGACCCCTCTTGGGAAGAACTTCTATCGGCGTCTCCTCTTCCTCCTCTCCTAATGGGAGGTCATCCTCTCCCTCTCCTACCTTTTTTACGTCCTCTGTGCGGGGCACATTGTGATGTCCCACATTGGTTGGGGAGGAGAACAAATCACCATATATAAGGGTGTGGAAACCTTCCCCTAGCAGACGCGTTTTAAAGCCTTGAGGGGAAGCTCAAAAAGGAAAGCCCAAAGAGGACAATATCTGTTAGCGGTGGATCTAGGTCGTTACAATTGTGATGTCCCACATTGGTTGGGGAGGAGAACAAATCACTATATATAAGGGTGTGAAAACTTTCCTCAAACCTTCTCCTCGCAGACGCGTTTTAAAGCCTTGAGGGGAAGCTCGAAAGGGCCAAAGAGGACAATATTAGTGGTGGATTTGGGTCATTATATGACCTTACTATCAGTTTGGTTAAAAGTTGTTGTTTGTATAATGACATGTTCCTCGTGGTTCTACACGTGATATATGCTTGATTTGTGTGTGAAAACTTTCCCTAAACCTTCTCCAGCAGATGTGTTTTAAAGCCTTGAGGGGAAAGCCCAAAGAGGACAATATCTCTGTTAGTGGTGGATATGTGTCATTACATGACCTTACTATCAGTTTGGTTAAAAGTTTTTGTTTGTATAATGACATGTGCCTCGGGGTTCTACACGTGATATATGCTTGATTTGTGTAAAATGTTTACGAAACGATGTTACTATAATGTGTGTATGAAACGATGTTACTATAGTGTGTGTATGAAACGATATGACTAGGATACGTTTAGGAAACGACACAACTAGGATATGTTGATATAGCTAGAATATGTTTATGAAAAGATAAGACTAGGATACGTTTAGGAAATGACATGACTATGATATATTTATGAAACAATATGACTAGGATATATGTATGAAATGAGATGACTAAGATATGTTTAAGAAATGAGATGACTATAATATATTTATGAAACAATATGATAAGAATATGTTTATGAAATGATATGACTATGATACGTTTATGAAATGATATGACTATGATATGTTTTATGAAAGAATATGACTAAGTTATGTTTATGTAACGATATGACTGTGATGTGTTTACAAAACAATATGACTATGATATGTTTACGAGATGATAAGCCATGATATCTTCGTGATACAACGTGACTATGAGATGATATTTGAATGTTATGACACGTGATATGATGATGTACTAATGATATGATAAATGTTATGGTATACACGTTTGGCGATATAGTACATGATATGATAAAAACAGTATGATACGAAGAAAAATGGACGGAGTTGTCTTACACAATAAAGAATAAAAATTTTGGGATCTCATGCATTATTGTGTGTTCATGCATCAGGAAATGCCCCTCTTTTACGATGGTACAGACGCATACACTACGAGGTAGAAAAATGATCATTATGTTTATCATAATGCTACGATGGTTGCTTTTCCTAATGGGTGTTCGACATCAACAGCTCCAGACAATGCTCGCCCGACCATGAAAGGGGCCCAAGAGGTGTACGAATCGACTAGTGGGTTCATACTCGCACGTGTGGACCATTTGTAAAACAGTAAATACACATCCAACTAACTTGTTTAGTATAGCCCCCTAAGGAATATAAACTGATATGATATGTCCTATACATGATTGTATGTGTTTGCATCTAACACCAAGAGTGGGGTCACTTACTGAGTATTTCTTATAATACTCGTGTCACGTGCTACTGCTATTTCAAGTAAAGGCAAGGCATCTCTGTACGACTTACGACGACATAGTCATTCGAGACCATGACACATGCAAAGGGTAGTTGTATTTATTAACTTAGAGTTAGATCAGAATAGAGTGTCTTAAATTTAATGCTAATTTATTTCATTTAATATTTTGTTATGTCGTTTTAAAGATGTTTTCGAACACGTAACTCTATTGCAGTATAAGATGAAGTCTATATTTTATGATGAACTTAAAACGTTAATTTATAACACAAAATGAATAAGTTATGATGACAGTAGTGACTCTAGGTAAGTACAAATCTAATGTCATTACAGTATTCTTATTTCAACTTAAGGATATGCTCCTTATATTCGAAATTTATGTAAGATGCTCAAAAATAATAACCAAGACTATATGTAAGGTGTTTAGAAAATTGTTACCTTTGAACTTAAATTTGTTAAACTTCTAATTAAACATTCAAACTATAATTATATTTCTTAGGCCGCTATCCTAAGTAAGTTAATTTGATGTGTATTTACTGTTTTTCATACGGTCTAGACATACGAGTATGGACCCACCAGTCGGTTCGCACTTGTCTTGGGCCACTTTCTTGTTAGGCGAGCATTATCTGGGAGGTGTTGATGTCAGACACCCGTTAGGAATACCGACCTTCGTAACATTATAACAAATATAATGATCGTTCTCTTGCCTTATAGTATACGTGTTCGTACCATCGTAAAAGATGAAGGGGTATCCCCCGAAACATGAATACACAATGATACATAAGGTCCCAACATTTCTCCTTTCATTATGTTGTATAATAACCCCTCTGTCATTTTCCTTTATATCATATCATTCTATCATAACTTTCCATGTGTACATCAGGACTGTGCATTATGCCAATTTATCACATTGTTTGTCAATCATATATCTCATCATGTCAAACATATGTCATATCATAAACTTACCATGATTTCTAACGTATTATATAACATTGTATAACATCATCACATCACAGAATAATATCATCATACATTGTACATCACCATCATACAATATAGTCACAACATCATAAATATAAATAATAAATGACACGTGCAAGGGCCACTAGGCACGTATCGTCATACATTAAACAAGTCGTCCAACCTTTCCAATAGTAAGACCACTTACTTGGTTGCCCTTAACCAACGTTCTCCCTAAATTCGAGTACATTTGCTTTTCCTACCTCAAAATTTCTCCTGGTATTATTAGTTGTCATTTCCCATTAGAATGTCTATCTGGATTCATTAGTAACTACGGTTTCTTAACTCAGTTTAACATAAATCGAGAATATGAACCTTATATTGAGTGTAATTTCCATAAACAAGGTCAATTTCAGCTATAGGATAGTCGGAACGGTAAAACATGGGCAAAATTCCCTTTAGTGAGATGAAGAGCAGGATTCTCAGCTGCGAAGCCAAGCCTAGCCAACTAAGCTGCGTAAGCTGAAGAAGTTTCTGGCTGCAAGCACGACATGTGGCGCAATGAGGTGCAAACGTGTGTTTTCCGGTGATCGAGTTTTTTTTTTTTTTGGCCTTTATAGAATCTATTTGTATTTCATTTTCAACAATGGTGTATAACTTTCAAATTTATTTCATTTTTGTGCTTGAAATTTTTCTATAAAATCTAGACTTTCATAGTAAGGTTGACCTCAATATTTTATTCTTCAATAACAACTTCAATATTTTTTTCAAATGTACTTAGGGTTAATATTAAATGTTTCCATATATTTCAGAACTTAAATGATTAACAAACATTTTGTTATAGTAGTATTACAATAAGCACACAACTTATGTAGAAAAGAAAAGATTTAATGTGAAGTAAGGCAAAGGTGATGGATTTGTCTAAAGATTCCATGGATGGATGAACTCGAACACGTTTGTTATGCCATTATATAAAGAAAACCCTTTTTCATCTGCACGCCAAATGCACTGCGCATAGTTACATCGGTTTTCAAGCCAATGTCCCCTCTTCTCTGGCCAAAAAACCTCAAACGAAAGCTTCCCATAATTGCTGCTAAAGTTGCACCAAAACAATGTGTTAAGGAAATAATTCTCTCTGAATTTCTAGTGGTATTCCTGTTTGAACTGAAGGATATGCACCCCTAAATCATAAAGTTATGTCAGATGGGCACAAATTCAATGGAAAAAATGTTAGAAAAACTAATTCAACTAGTTGAGACGATATATGCATCTATGAAGAGGTGAAGTACTATAAAAACTATCCATGCAACATATTTATTAACAAAAAATAAAAAAACAAAAATAATATGGTCTCGTTG